AATTGGGACCCTGGGACCAGGACTTGGGACTGACTGCGTGGAATCATTTCAGTTAGCTGATCTCAGGTCGAAAATTTGAAACGGAACTCTCTACCTGATGACAGCCACAGAGTCAGAAAACTCGAGAGTAGGCGCTCACCTGCCAAAGGGGTTTTGCTGATAAAGAGACCATGAAGTGACTTATGAACTCCCGCTGAGACTCGCTCCAAATGCTGAAGGAAAGAAGTTGAGGCAGAAATTTGGATTTGGATGTACTGGGTTTTACTGCTGAGTCCAACGACCTCGATGAGGAATAGTAGCTATTTGCGACAAATTGAATTTCTGAAATTTTATTGGCCTCCTCAAAGGCTGAGAGCAAAGCAGGTTGAGCTCACTCCTGACCTAACTGAGAGTCCCTAGAAAAAAAAGGGCACTAGAATTTAGAAAACTTGGCAAAAACCATTGCGTAAAAAAAAAAAAAAAAAAAAAAAAAAAGAAAAAAAAACAGGTGGGTAAAAGCTCTGTAAACTACGTTGCAACAAAGAATTCCGCGTCAACAACAACCGAAACAAAATACAAATACAAATACAAAGCTGTGAATCATGAACATTGTCGTTGCTCAAAGGCGAACTGAAAGTGCTCAAGCATTCTAAAGCAAAATGAAAACGGAATTGCAGCTAGTCATGGGGTTTTTGGTTTCCGGCGGGGGGGTGGGGGAAGAGATGAATTCAAAGAGAAACGAAAAAAGGAAAATGCGCAAACCCTCGTCCACTGCATGTGCGGTTCGTTGCTTCTTGCCGGCTGTCGGCCGTTGTGCAGAATCAACAAACAGACGCGTATTCTGTGTAAAAATCAATGTACCAATAAGCTTCGAGCCTGTGACATGTGACAGTATCACTCTGTTTGACTCCATCGCTGCTTCACATGATGGAGCAGAGACCCGAGTCTTCGGTCTTCGAACGTCTTCTGCGGCCGTTCTTTGTCTTACGTGCCTGCATCCAAAATCACCAAAATAAAATATTTGGACACAAAACCATCATGAACAGTGGTATACTCAAACTGATTCACTAGATGCGGATTGTTGAGTTGGGAAATCTTCCTTTTTTCAATAAAATTGTGATATTATTCTATTTCATTAATATATTGTTAAACAGAACTGCATGGCAAACTGTAGGCACAGAGGGAGAAGAGGACAACAAACGAGGGGCTGTGACAAACTGTTTCGTTGGAGTTTCACTGCTGGCAAACTGTCCGCAGAGAGAGAGAAGAGGACAACAAACGAGGGACTGTGACAGACTCTTTCGTTGGAGTTTCACTGACTCATATTAATATAAATATATCATATTATATTTATGTATCAAAATACTATCAATTACTATCATTTTTTTTTTTTTTAATGACAGAAAAACAAATCAACGACCACACACACACACACACACACAAGCACAAGCGTGCACACACGCACAAACACACACACACACATATACACACACACACATAAACACACAAGCACATGCACAAAAAAACTTTTAAAAAGCCCTGCACATGCGGCACAGGGAGAAGCAACCCACTGGTCAGAAAATCATCACGGGAAGAGAACAATCACCAATTTGAAATTATTCTGGACAAATTGCCTGAACGGGCTAGTCTTCATCATGTTCAATAGGTGGGAACGACAACGTTTATCATGGTTTAAGTTCGGTTTAACCATTTAACCGTTTTGAATGTAAGCCACAACTAGAAATTCAACCATTCAACGCTTAGCGCTCTGACCAAGCGGTTTTCGGCATGCATGAGGAGCACCGCTCAGTTCATCCTTCTGTCAGTAAGGACAAAAGGATGGAACCTTCGTTTTGCCCTCCATGTCATCCCTTGTGATTGAACATGAAGTGCAATCCGTTATATTAAGTTTATAACATTGTACGATAAGAGATAAAAAATTTATAATGCTTCATGTTCATTCGATCTAACCCAGTGCGTGGGGAAGGGGGAACACGAGGGGGAGGGAAGGGGGCAGGGGCAAGGCCCCGAGTCGGTTATTCCCTTGTGGTGGCATGGTAGTACGAAACATGCATGTAAATGCTGATCAGCAGGTCACATCCTAGAGATAACTATATATTAAAACAAAGGTTAATGCAACCAGCCCTGCACCCCTAACACACACACACACACACACAGAGAGAGAGAGAGAGAGAGAGAGAGAGAGAGAGAGAGAGAGAGAGAGAGAGAGCCACATTCACTCATGGTACCAGGCACGTTAGGACACAGCAATTGGCCTGCGTTTGAGTGCGCTAGGTGCTGTACAGCATCCGCACAATGGCTGCGTACAGAAGCTGGAGAAGACGGCAGCTATTTGCCATGAATCCACTTGGGGTTCACTGACAAGACAGAGGAGGGCCCATGCAGGACATAATGCCCAAGAGAAAACCCCAATCGAGCCTGTCAATGGGGGGTCCAGAGCCCGGACATATCTACAAGGCCCCCTTCCCTGAAGCAGGCCTGTGTGTGTTAGAAGGCGTTATCACCGAAAGGTCTCTTTTGTTGGGCGTGCTGTCAAATTCGTGAAACAACAGGGGCTTATTTACGACTTCGAGTTTCCCTTCTTTAAACCGGCAGTATACAGCCCCACCCCTGCAGAAAATGAACTCGTCCCCACCACCCCGACTTTCAGGGGCAGGCCGCTGTTGATGCCCTTTGTCGCGTTTCCGGCCTCCGAAAGTCGTGCTGAGGGGCCCGCAGCCGATGTGCGGCCGCGTACTGGTGGGGTAAAAAAAAAAAAAAAAAAAAAAAACCAGGTCCATGGAGAATCACTGAATTCAACTTTAACAGCCCGGGCATGATATTGGCAAAGGGATGCATTGGGTATCCTACCCCTTGTTTACTTGAAGCAGAGCTGACAGTGGAAGCTGCATCGCTGAGTCCTTGACTTGTTGGTGTCCTTGGAGAGGCTTTTGGCAGTGACAGACTCATGCTGCTAGTCAGACATGCGCTCTCTTGCACTCCCTGGGAACCATTTCGGGCACTCTGTCTCTCGTCTCCAGCGTCCGATGAAGTCTGTGCCCCATCATTCTCAGGCAGTTCAATCAGTCCCTTCCAGAGAGGAGCATGAGCACGCTCTTTCAAAGAGACGTCACCGCGAGTCTCTTCACCCCTCCGGCTACCAGCTGTGATCTCACTTTTCTCCTCTGCATCACTGTATCGCTGTTCCGACGATGTCTTGTGTTCCCCCGGCTCCAAGCCCTCAGTCATAGCCTCCGTGGCATGAGCCCTGAGCATCTCCTGTTCTTCGGCGGAGAAAGGAGGAACTAATGTCAGGTCTTCAACATGCCGCCATGACGAATCTCTAGATGCGCTGCGCTCCAGTTCGTCTCCCCCTACACTTCGATCGCTCCACATCCCGCCTTCCTTGCCAACGCTTCCAGATCGAGCCTCTGCGACTATCCTCTCCCATGTCTCATCGTCCACTGTTCCCGACAACAGCCCTTTCAGGATTCTCCGCATTGGGCCTCGACCTGTCTGTGGCCACTCTTTGTTGATGCGGTCAACATCTTTCCAAGAACCAGTTTCTGGGTCTTTCTTCTCCGGGACCCCGTGCGCGACATCATCTTCGCTGACATCCAGGCTTACCACCCCCGGGCCCTGGAGGAGTGCGGCAGGCGTGATCCTCCTCGCTGAGAGTGGACTCTGAGCAATAGGCATTTTTTGCCAATCTTCCTCAGAGTCTGCCATAGCGCCGGTTTTCAAAGAATCGGCCGGAACGGGTTCTGAACCCGTTCCACCCCAAGACTTAGCGTCTTTCCTCTCCCATGTGTGGGTACGCACAGTTCCCGGTGAATCATGGGGTTTCAGAATCCTCATGTCGACATCGTGCCAGCTGTCTGGGTGCGCTGTGTGAGCAGATCGCAGAAAAACAAACTTTTCCATGTCACCGACTTCTTCCCGCCGACTCTCTGTCCTAGGCGTTGCCAACCACTGCGACTCGCGAATGTCTTCGCTATACTCTGAGTCTTCGGTCGTCAGAGAATCCTTTTCACCCTCTTCATCATCCGCGCTAGTAGGTCCGATCGACGTTTCCGAAGTTTGGTCACTACTGCTGACTGTCGGTGCTTTGATAACAGGCATCGCAGTGCCACGCGCAGCCCCCAGCCGACCGAACTCCTCCGACGATGACGAATCCTCACTGGACTCTATGTCATCCCGATAAGTCTGTTTCCCATGGCCCATCTCCAACTTGCCGCCGTCATCCGCCAAGGCCATTGTTCCAAGTTGATTATCATGATCGCTGACCTGAGGCTCTGCAGCTGGGAGTGGGAGAGGCTCCTTGACTTCCTCGTGATCTCCTGCCACGCCAAACGCTTCAGAATCTGTCGACAGTCCCGGCATGTCCGCACGTGGGTTGCGCACAATAACGTACCTCATCTCCTGACCAGTACTCTGCCCACCTCGATGACCAGGCAACCGAACTCGGACAATAGTGACAGCAGGCTCCAAGCCTGCCCTCGCTTCGCCGGCTGGTGATCCCATCGCAGCTGCATAACTGTCAACCTGCCCGCTTCCGTTCACACTTGTCGATCTAACTTGGACAATGGTGACTGGTGGAAACTCAAGCTCAGACCCTGACTCTGTACCTTCCACCGAGGTTTCTCCCATCTGCCCAAAGGCCTCTCCTGCGCCTTGCTCTCCTGTTAAAAGGTCTGCAACTCGCTTTGCTGGTCCGACTCCCGCTGTCTCGTCCAGGACCCTTTTTGTCTCCTCGTCAGCGAGCTTCGATTTCGGAGTCAACTAGGGAGTCCCATCATACGAAATGGGACAAAGCACGCATTCCATTTGTCAATCCAAATGCCAAATCTCGTCAGCAACTCGGAAAAGAAAGAGAAACAGAAGATAAAGACTCATAAAGCGAGTACCAAGTAGCCAGCCACACAGCACACACTGTTCGTCATCACGATGCCACAAGCGGACCAAGTGGTTAGCACAACTTAGCAGGGGTCACGGGAGGATTTCGGGGTTAACAGTGCCTAACCCATGCTTAACCATGGTTCACAGTTACTGTAACTCAGTCTGTTGCTTTAACAGTGGTTCACAGTTCAACTTGGTGTCGGCGGCGGACTCCGGTCACCGTGCATTTTTTTTAAACATGCCCACGTTCACGTTGAGTGCTCGATGTCATGAGAAGTCTTTAAGTTCTTGTGTGTTAAATTGCATTGAACTGACATTTCGTCAAAACTGACATTTTTTTCTAAATTCACGAAATTTAGCGAACAAAAAAAAAAAAAGTTTAAAAAACAACATTATTTTTTAGCATTTTTTTGTCACCATGACGTCCGACCATTTGATGATGGTCGGGCGTCCTGACGAAGCCTGATGATTGGACCCTCAATATGTATTTTGACGGTACTTTACGATGATGAGATACATCAGATGGTCAAAGTGAGATAACCACTTTCTGATCCAATGAGCAATTATGGAGGAACTTTGACCGAGTCCACTTTCGTAGGAATTGAGAAAATAAATGTCAGATTTAACAAAATGTCAGATTTAACAAAATGTCAGTTATTCCATATTTTACATTTCAGGCTTCAACTTCGTTTTCAATTGAGTTCCATGTTAAACTTTCTGTCCTATCCAGCTGACATCTCTTTTCATTCCTTTTTTTCCCCAAAACGGGGACTAGAACCTATGACATTGCTGTACCCATATGGTTTCATTGACTTTCATAACCATTGCAGCCAATTTTGAACTCGATGCATGATCTGCTTACCAACCGTCGTCGCATGTATGTGGGGTGGGTTCCTTGTGACATCCTCAGCTGTATCTAGACTGAAAGACGGCTCAAATACAGCTATAAAGACCGTCCATTGTATTCAGGGGAAGAAGGTAGAAGTTTTTCCCACTGATCTCTGAACATAATTGCAGCCAGATGCGTCCGGCGCACGCCATGACTGCAGTCAGATACATCCAGGAATGTCCCACTGTGACAACAACTAGTAAGCAGCGCCGGCTGCGCCGCTGCTCCCTGGTACGACCTGGTAGTAGATCGGAGCCATTATAGAAACTTAGAATTTTTTCAAACTGGTATCCCTGTTCTGAATGGCAATTCGTTTTTTTTTCCCCCGATTAATAAAAATTCAGTTATTTATTCTATTATTTTGGAACTTGGACTCTGAAGCATACGTTCTTCTTTTTTGTCCACCGCGTAAATTAAATCCAGAAAAAAACGGATAAATAAAAAGTTAACACTTGGGAGGACTCAGAACCATATGGTTCCATTGGGAGCACCCAGGAGTCAGAACCATATGGTTCCATTGGGAGCACTCAGAAGTCAGAACCATATGGTTCCAGTCTTCCAGAGGAACAATAATTTAAAAAGAAAAGGATTATGATTTCGTAAGGAACATACGTAGATAATGTAGCATGTACCTTCGCCGCAACGACAATTTCCTCCAACATTCTAACCCTCTTGAGTAATGACCCTTTTTCCTGAACGTCAAGGATGGCTTCGGTAGTTGTCAGCGATCCCTCGCGCCGAGATGAGAACGATACCGGTATCACTTTGGAGTCGGTGGCTGCTAACTTGACGGTCGAGCTCTCATCCTGTTCAACCTGAAGCAACTGCATTGAAATTACACGCCCAAAAAGGAAAAGGAAGGAAGATGGAACAGATTGCCAGAATCAGGCCTTCGGGACATCCGTTGAAGTTGAAACGATACAGAGAATATTAGCATCACCCCTGCGCAAGGATGACGCACATAAATTGAGAAATGGGCCAAAAAAAAAAAAAAAGGAGAGAGAGAGAGAGAGAGAGAGAGAGAGAGAGAGAGAGAGAGAGAGAGAGAGAGAGAAGATTGCCCGAATCAGCTGGACAAGAGTGAGTGGGGGATCGAGTGGAAACAATCTCAAATACATTCAAACGATTGTGTCACTGCATGAAAACATTCTACAAAGTATGAAACCAGTGCAAAGCAGCCAGTGGAAAGGGGGGAATTTTTTCTGAAAAAGAAAATGGCCACGCTTGTAACCGTTGATAAACATATGATGAGTCCAAATCCAGAGGGCACACATGGACTGCACACACACACACACACACACACACACACACACACACACACACACACAAAATAATAAAGAGTGAATATAAGCAGACAAGTTGAGAAAACCCGCACTCCAATAGCACTCATCCCCATAAACAGGTCAAGCCTAAAGGTACAAATAACATTAAAAATTAAAAAAAACAGTTTAAATTCCTTCTTGGTGGAGGTTAATCCAGGACTGGTGGTGTGTGTGTGTGTGTGTGAACGCAGGCATGCACATACACACAAATTAATACACACACACAAATGAGTTGGCAAAACCTTGACGACATAGTTTGGCACAGTCATACGTTTCTGGGGAGTTGTGCATAGCAAGAATGACAATACAGACACCCAAAAAAAAAAAAAAAAAAAAAAAAAAAGATTGCACACATACCAAGTCTTCCAGAGCTCCTATCCTCTCTAATAACGTCCCTTGCAATTCCGTCCTCCTCCCTCTTTTATCACCTTCCGACAAAAGCTTTGGTAGCGGATGCAGCATCTCTTTGGCAAAGCTTGTAAACCGCTTTAGAAAACCTTCTTCGTCGACGTCAGCAGCTTCTTCCGTTTCTGCAGCTTCTTCCTTTTCCACCTCCAGCACTTCACCGTATGATGGCACCTCCGAGTCAGTGGCTGCTGATGCGATTTGCTCACTTTTTCTGTGATAGGCCTCTTCCTCCTGTCTACATTCGTCAGCAATCTCCTTCACAACCACCTTAACGTCGTCATCTTCAAACGTGGGAGAATCGAAGGGAGATAATGCAGGTCCTGGACTGCTATAAGGAGCCTCTACCACATACGAGGCAATATAGGTATCACCTCCACCTCCACCACCACCATCACCGCCTCCCTCACTACTCGTACGATCAGCAGGACCTGGATGCTCTTTCACAACCTCCTTCACGACCTCTTGAATCATGGGAGTATGGGGGCTGAGAAACAGTTGTTCGGTTGGTGAGTAGGTTCCTTCCTTATGCTCCTTTTCGTTGACGTCCTCAATGATATCATGAATTTTACCAAGACCCTGTTTGTGACTCTTGTACTCGTCGTAAGGATGATGGCGCTGATGATCGCGACCTGATTGAACTGAGACTTTAAGGGATGGTTTTCGGGACATGGCAGCCTCTGCAGCAGTGCCAGTCCTGCCGGACTCACTTGGACTGCTAACGAGACCAGGTGCACCTGAAGAACTATAATTGCCATATCCAGCATCCTCCTTCACCTGGTCCTCCCTTGATCCCATGAGAGTCTCCCCCGGCCGCTGCTCATGGCCAATCACCTCCACGCTCTCCATCTCCGTACCAGTAATAGCTTCTTTTTTTCTTTTCTTTTCGTTTCGTTACTTTTTTTTTTGCTTTTTGTAGCCTACCAGTTATATCACCCTCAGTCGATTCCGATTATGATGTTGTATGACGGCTTTATGAACCTTAACAAGGAACGTGTCTAACGTCCTCGCTCCTTGAGATGGTTTCGAAAGTACTGCAGCAGTTACCACAGTAACTATGGAGAAGCAATGATAGGCAGCTGCAGCCCAAGTACCATGTCGTACTCTGTAGTACTATCGTGTACTACTGCGACGTAGTACTATGTCGTACTACTCTGTTATACTCTTATAATATAGAATGTAGCAGTTGCAGCCTCAGAATTTTCTCCCTCCTCACAATGGTCTCGAAAGTACTGCAAAGTACTAGCCAGTACTATGCATCTGGATATTCTAGAATAGTAGAATGTAGTGGTTGCAAACTTTCTGAGTACTAGCCAGTACTAGATAGTAGAATGTAGTGGTTGCAAACTTTCTGAGTACTAGCCAGTACTATGTATCTGGATATACTAGAATAGTAGAATGTAGTGGTTCCAAACTTGCAGCCTCGGAACTTCCTCCCTCCTCACGATGGTTTCCACAGTACTGCAGAGTTAATTGGGGTCGTACTGAACTATGTGGTATTACTATGTTGTAGTACTCTGTACTAGTACTGTAGTAGTAGTACTATGAACTACTACCATGGACTAGCACTATAGCAGTAGTACTATGGACTAGTACAGTAACTATGTTGTAGTACAGTAACTATGAAATTACAGTGTTATGTAGTAGCAGCACGGTGACCTTGTCCTGCACTCTCGGCACATAGTCTTCCCCCGTCGCTTCTCCGGATGGATTGCCAGGATTGTCCAAGGTATTGCTTTCGATGATCATGGACGTCAACAGATAATGTATAAAAACCGCCTTGCAATTGGGTACTATTTATAGGGATTGGGAGTTTGCACAATCACACAGGTAATATACAAACGGCTTTCCAATGCGGTAGCGCAGGGGCTGGGATTTAACAAAATCAGATCACACCCGCTTGAAGAAGGAGAAAAAAACCGACTGCGTCCTCTATTAATCAACAGGAGTTGATTGCAGTCGAGGTGAAGGTCGCATATTAAGCCTTGGGGAATCCTCCCTGCGAAGAGCAAATCAATCATACGAAAAAGAAGAAAAAAAATCAACCATACAACCACTCGGTTAATGAGATTCGATCAACACCCATCGCTACAAACTGCAATCAATCATTATGATTCATTATACAACCGGCATCGAGCTTCGCAGTCAAAATCCTTCGGGACAGATGAAACGACATGATCTCCAAGCGCTACAGCTGACAGCCTTTACGGCAATTGAAAACCTTTCATCAAAATCCTTTCTTTTCTCCTCCCCCCCCCAAAAAAAAATGGTCCCACGGGCAAGTACGTTGATGCCACTTTTTTTTTCAGCGCGGAATTGGCAAACAAAGCATGCACCGGCAAAGAAAACAGGCGCCGTCCCAAAAAAAAAGGAAAGAAAAAACGAAAAACAGGCACCGAGTTTGGAAAAGCAATGAAAGTAAGGGCGAGATCCCACTGGCAAAGAGAAGAGGATTGTAGTAAGTGTCTGAATGTGGACGTGTTTGTGGACAGGTGCAAAAAATTGTGATTGATCTACTTTTCTGCATCTCTGTGTGGAACACGTCCAGATTCAGACTCTTATTCCAATCCTCTTTGCCAGTGGGATCTGGCTCTAAGTACCGACGGCAGGGTGTCACGCCGGGTGTCATCGCTACAGGGGTCGCCCCTGGTGTCAGACTGAGAAAGAAAGGTGAAAAAAAAAAAAAAAAAAAAAAAAGGCCAATGGAATTCAATGGATTCTTTTCTACACATATTGCCGTTTCAAACTCATGCCGTGATATCTTTGCAAGCGGGCGCGTGTTTTTTTGCGCCTTTTTGTTGCCAACTCAAAACCTGCCGTGTCGTCCTTCGGGACATCTGTTAAAATTGCGCATTAAGAAAAGAAAAAAAAAAAAAAAACGCCGCGTCTGCCGTTGTGTTTTTTTTTTTTTTTTTTTAACAAATTCCTCCGATTGATTGATGTGAAGAGGCTCTTGCTGGAATACGGGGGCCGAGTCCCACTAGCAGCGTTGAGTTCCGCAAATCCTGAATCTGGACGTGTTTGTGGGTTTCATCAACGCAATTTCTGCACATCTCCACGAACGCATCCAGATTCAGGCGTTGAGAAAACTCACAACGCTGCGAGTGGGACTTGGCCCCGGGTCTAGCGTCCACCGATAGAATCAATTAACAGATTCAATTCATTTCAATACATACAAAAAATGAAGAAGGTCCTTCGCGACATCCGTTAAAATTGGAACGATACAGAGAAGATTAGCATGGCCCCTGCGCAAGGATGACATGCATAAATCGAGAAATGGTCCAAATTTTTTATGAAAAATAAAAATAAAAAAAAATAAAAAATGAAGAAGAATGAGCGCGAGTGGAAGTAATCGGCCTTTAAGTCTGCCTGTCATTCTTCAGACCTTTCAGCAAGAATCCTTTCGTTTTACCAACGGGCGCTACTACCCTCTTGCCCCGAATACAACGTACGGTCATTATAGCTGTATTTGAGGCATCTTTCAATCTAGATACAGCTATAATGGCCGTACGTTGTATTCGGGGGAAGAAGGTAGCTCAGTTGGTACAACCCGGGCCGCATGAACTGTTGAAAATACAGACTCAAATTCGAATCCAGGTATACTCAGATGGCAGAATAAATTCAATAAAATAGTTCTGAATTACCTGGGCCGGTCAGCTCAATGATGATACCTCAATGC